CTTCCGAGGGGTCATTTAGAGGCGCGCCTAGAGGACTTCAGGGCTCCGATTTACTTCTGATTTGGTGGCGGTGGGGAGAGGGAAAATTGAGGGCACGGAAATCAGTTTGTGGATTTTCCACCTTGGGAAACCAGCATTTGTAAAGGAGAGCTTTGTTGTTTACTGAAGGGCTTCTTTTTCCTTTCCGTCTTTCTCAAAACGCAGTGTCAGTGAACTCCGTCCTTAATCCGCTTTCCTCAGAGTAAAGTTTGGGGACAGGAGAAAACTCAATTCCGTTGTTCGCCCTTGTTGTGGGATGCGGCTACCGGGCAAACGCAGACAGGAACTCAACCTCTTACAGTTCAATTGGACAGAGACCTCGGGCTTGTGTTAACATTGAATTGCCAGCATTTCTCTTCCGTTCCTCAAGCACCTAAAAAGAAAGAAAATAGTCATACAGCTTGAACAGAATTTACCCAATGCGTTATTAACTCCACAACTACTGAGCGTCTACTTCGAGCCAGGAACAGTCCTAGCACCACAAACAAAAAACAGGCGGTTTCTACGCAACTGTATGATTTTCCCAATTCATGAGGACTCAAGATTGGGGTCGGTTTTACAAATCTGACTTTTAATGTCACTTTGGTTAATGTCATCAAAAGTAAGAGGAGGGCTTCCCTGGTGGCGCAGTGGTTGAGAGTCCGCCTGCTGATGCAGGGGACACAGGTTCATGCCCCGGTCCGGGAAGATCCCACATGCCGCGGAGCGGCTGGGCCCGTGAGCCATGGCCGCTGAGCCTGCGCGTCCGGAGCCTGTGCTCCGCAACGGGAGAGGCCACAGCAGTGAGAAGCCCGCGTACCGCAATAAATAAATAAATAAATAAAATAAAAGTAAGAGGAAATAGGGGCTTCCCTGGCGGTCCAGTGGTTAGAACTCCGCACTTCCACTGCAAGAGGAGCGGGTTCGATCTCTGATCCGGGAACTAGGATCCCGCATGCCTCGGGGGCGGCTTAAAAAAAAAAGTAAGGGGAAACAAATCCTACTGGGAGGGAGATATTTCCTTTGAGTGTTTCGCTTTAACGAGCCATTTCAGGGATTGGGAGCATGAGGTGCGGATACTTCCCTTTTAAAATTTTCCTCTTTCCTCATTGAGGTACGGAGGGGGGAATTTTACTCACGTCTTTATCACTAGGTTCCCACATCCATTACATATTTATGTGTTCAGAAGGAATGGCCTTGGAAATGTAGGTGCGCGTTACCATAGTCCTCTCTTTGTTTCTACACGCCTGGATGAATTACCGTATTTTGTGTCCTGCGAGCTCCCAAAACCTTTGGAAAAGGAGCGCACTTCGGGAGGCGCAGACAGGTGAACCGCGTTTGTTCCCTTCCACTTATACAGCGGGTGACCCTGCGACGCTCTCCTCTTGACCTGGGAGGCCTATCTCTGCGCAGCGGGGTGCACTTGGCGCACACCACAACCACCTGCTCCCGCTCGCTGAGCCCCACCCAGCTAGGTGGGCAAGGGGGCGGGGCTCGGGGGCGCTCTGACGCGTGACGCCGGATCCCGGAAGTGACGCGCTCCTGGGGAAAAAGGCGGGGGGAGGGGGGTGGTGTCCCGGCCGGTTTGGGGGGCGCGTTGCCCGGAGACCGAAAGTTTGCGAGCCAGAACAGGCTTGGCGGCGGCCCCGGAAAGGGGGTCCAGGGGGCGGCGGCCCTGGGGATGGGGAAGGAGCAGGAGCTGCTGGAGGCGGCCCGCACCGGACACCTCCCGGCCGTGGAGAAGCTGCTGTCGGGGAAACGGCTCTCCTCAGGCTTCGGGGGCGGCGGCAGCGGGGGCTCAGGGGGAGGCA